CTCTAAAACAGGGAATTCTGGGAGTTGAAGTCCACCCCTCTAAAATAGGGAATTCTGGGAGTTGAAGTCCGCCCCTCTTAGAATTATGAAGGTTGGGAAACGCTGCTCTGAAACTGGGTTTTCAAATCATAGCTGGGGTTCAAGGCCGCCTCCCTCCAACGTGTGAAAACTTTTGAGTGACCGGGGCTGGCCTGTTTTCATTGTGCTTCCTTGTTCCCTTCACCCAAAACAATGACAAAACCGTGGGGATTTTGCAACCCAGGGTTCGCGAACTCTTCCCGGAGATTGCGTGACCACGGGGACGCTGCAGGGCGAAAAACCATCCCAAGTCCCTTTTTTTTCAAGGCCGCTGTGACTCCCGTCACTAAAACGAATGGCCGTAAGTTGAGGATGAACGGCATCCTAGCCAAAACAAGCCACAGATCACCCGACACCTTTCAAAGGGGGATGGGACTCAGTTTATCCCAGCCCTCCGACGGACGGAGGCCTTTTGTCGCCGGCATCCATCCAAATTCCCGACATTGGGTGGTTTGCTCTGCTGTAACTGCTACGCCTGACTGCTTTTGTGAGTGAAGAGAGAGCCAAAGGGAAGGAAAATTGGTGTGTGTGTGTGTGTGTGTGTGTCTCTCTTTGCAATGGTGTTCCCCTCCCAAAAAAACTACTGGATTTGTCAGAAATGGTGCAGGGTCTCCCGCTTGGGTGGGGGGGTTGGACTAGATGACCTATAAGATCCCTTCCAACACTGTTAATCTGTAAAGAGCAGACGTTGCCTTTGGAAGTTGTGGGAGCTTCATCCCTGGAGACCTTCAAGAAGAGATTGGACTGCCATTTGTCAGAAATGGTGTAGGTCTTCTGCTTGGGCCGGGGGTTGGACTAGATGACCTACAAGATCCCTTCCAACTGCCTGGATTTATACACTTTGGGTGCTCGTAGAGATACAAAAACCCCAAGTGAAATTATTGGCACTGGTTTTTTTGGGAGAGCAGGAGACGAGCCCAGTTTTCTCGAGGATGAACGTCGAATAAAATGAACGCGGAATAAAATGAACGCGGAATAAAATCAACGTGGAATAAAATCAACGTGGAATAAAATCAACGCGGAATAAAAGGCAGACGTGGTTCCCCCAGGCCACCTTGGCAGGAGGGGTTTTCTTCTTCTGGGTTTTTGGACTTGGGGAGGGAGGGAAAGGGGGGGGGGGGGCTGCCCCGAAGCGTGAGAAAGGGATCTCAAGAGAGGAAGAAAAACAGTTGAGCAACCCCGCAAGCGGGACGAGACACTTGACAGGTTGGGGAGGGAAACGGTGGCGAAATGCACCATCCGTTTTCCTCCGGTTTGTTTTGAATTTGGGGTGATGCCTGGTGAGAACGGAAGCGGGGTGTGCGGGAATGAGAAATCTCCTCCAGGTTATTTTTTGGGGTGGGGGATCAAACCTTCTTCCTTATCTCACAGGTGTTTTTTTTTTTTTTTCAAAAGTATTAAATAAAATCTCTTTTTTTTTGTTCTGGCTCTCAGTCAAAACTCTGGGTTTGCATTGGAAGATTTTGAGCCAAAGGTTTATTTATCTCGCCGCCGGAAAAGCACCACCAAGACAGTGTCAAATTTGGGTTTATTTTTGTTTTTTTAGCACAGCCTTATTTTCTTTTTTCCTTGGAAAGCAAAGCCTGAAATGCAGCAACGCCCGTGATTTTTTTTTTTTCTATTCGTTTTCATTCAAAGCAGGAAAAATAATAATAATAATCTACATTTCAGAGAGGTCCGGTGGCCTAGATACGGATCTGTTACAATCAGGAGGATTGCGAGTTCAATCCTAGGTAGAGGCTAATATTTGGAATTGCCTCTCCTGTCCGAGCAAAGGGGGGGTTGGACTAGATGACCTCCAAGGTCCCTTCCAACTCTTGTTATTCTATGAAAAAAAAAGGGGGGTAACCCCTCGTTTATCCCCAGAGCAAGACTGCAGAGAGGAAGTTGCTTTTGAATTGGGCGGCTGAAGGTGTTCCCCCCCCCAAAAAAATAACCCTTCGTTCGGCCCTGGAGCAAAGAGTCCATCTAGATGGCCTCAGGGGGTCCGCAAACGGTCCAACTTTTTGCGATTTGATTCTTTTGTTTGGGTTTCTTCCTCGGCTACA